TGTAAGTTGTATGGGGACAGGACCTCTTAGCAAGGTTCAACAGGTCTGGTGTACACAGTAAAGAGTCTTCAGGACATCATGAGCAAGGATGCTATGAATTATAAGATGCAACATGCTATGAATTATAAGATATTTTAATAATAGTATCTCATATGGCAGTTTTTAGTGACTGATTTAGAAACCGTTTACAAAGGAGATGTCATTATCCTAATTTTACAGTGGGGAAATGGAAGCATATGGAGCAGAACCAGAGTTTTCAAGTTCTTGTGTGCCTAAAAGATACTCACAGGAATCTCGTGTGATTTTTCAGAAGCACCTTGATTTCCCAATGTGGCTTGCCCAAGATCACCCACAGGCTGGTGGCAGAGCTCAGAATAAAATAGAGGTCTCTGTAGTCCCTGTCCCATGCTCTATCTAGTAAGCCACACTGCCTGTTGTGATATTCAGTGGTGTGGACAGCCTCTCAGCAGTGTGGTCTGGTGGCTAGGACACTGTACTAGGAGTGAGGCGATCTGGAGTCTGCTCTCTTCTCTGCAACTGACGTGCTGCATGGCCTTCTATGAGCTCCTTCACCTTTTGTCTTTCTTATCTATTCAGACTATAAGCTGAGTGGAAAAGGGTCTGTCTCTTATACTGTATTGTGCACAGTGCCTACCACAATATTCCTCAGCCCTGTTCTAGCAGGTCTACTCCTGAAATGGAAAAGATAAGTTTGAACTCATGCAAAACTCTCTTGCCTGCACATCTATATAGGGCACTATATAGACAACAGTCGTATTAGCAGAAAATTCTGTGTTCCTTAAAGGCCACTTGATGCCACTTCACTTAGTTAATGAAAAGAACAAACTGTCAAGGGCTAAACTTAAAAGCAGATGTATAGAAAAAGAGATGGCATTTATGTGGCTTTTATATTTGAAATAATGAACGGAACAAAACCCAGCACTGTCGCTAATAGGATCACTTACTACTAAAAGCATCATCTTGCTACAGTGAATGTCTCATTACAGTAGCAGGGGGCCTAGAAATGACCTCTCCTGGTCCAGCAACATCCCTCATACAAGACTGGTCAAGTCCCGAGGGTGCTGGACTATGGAGGTCCAACCTGTATCTTCTCATATGTAGCGGTGGTTGCTCTAGAACAGGTTTGAAGCATTGTGGCAGAGCAGCATGGAGAAGCCTGCTGTATGTGTTCTCTGGAGGTCTTCAGTCCCATGAGATGACTCCCTCAGCAACTGTCACAAACTTTAAATTCATTTAAACTAATAATATGCCTAATGCTCTTAATCCCGCCCCCATCAAGTAGTTAATGTTGCTGCTGAAACAATTTAAAAATAACACAGCCAAAACATCATAACATAACAGCAGAAATATTAAATGATTTGTTGTATCATCAATGGAAGGAGAGTGATGTCAGAGACCAGTCCTCCTTCCACAGAAAATTCCCAGTGTCTTCAGTGGATGTAGGATCCTCCCCTCCACAGATGAATTAATTCTTCAAATGCTCAGTTTCCAGTTGTTGTGATTGTCTTATTGTTTGTTTATTTTTGGATTATGTGGTTGAAGAATAAATATTTTCAAAAAGTTATTCATTTATTTAGTAAATAACATGTGCACTACTGATTTCAGCTGAGGAAATGATTGTCAAGAGCAGGAAAAGCCAGAAGATGAATGGGTCTCTTACTTAAAAATAGGAAACAGCTTGAAGTTCCTTTTGGGGTGGGGGGGAGATAGCTCATCTATTAACAATTACATTATTTTGTCACTGATACGAAATAAGGATTGTGTTCTACCAGTGCTGGACGCATGCACCTCCTATTCATGTGAACAATTCTGGGCCTTCGTGGAGGGAAATATAATAATCCTAAATATTCAGAGTTTTGACCAGCATCCTGCTGTAGCAAATTTACCATGCTATTGAAACTATGTTTATAAAAAAGCAGAGAGGAAAATAAAATGTATTATCCAGATTCCCACATCAAATTTTGATTGAATATATATGTCCTTATATGTCTCTGTCTTCACGTTGGTGGGTTTCAGATAAAGCCTTACCAGAAAATGCAGGATCAAGAATTCAGACATTCACAGCTTGAGGCAAGTATCATGCCTAGTTAAATATCCTTCCGTGTTCCATACAGAGTCTGTGAATCATGTGTCATGCTTGCATTTATACCAGGATTTGGAAATGCTGTAAGTCTGCCTACCTGTTTGCATTCACATACACAGGATGTTCTGTGCAACAGGATGTTTTTCCAACCAAACTAAGAGTTGTCAAGAATCACCAGTCAAGACAGTGTGCCTCAAAAAGCGTGCCTCTGTCACAAACAGAAGATGGTCCATTTTGTCTCTCTAATATCTTGTGAACCACACAGCTGTAACCACACTACATACAGTCAAGCATCTGCAGTTACGCTCATCTCTCCTAGTTCTATGCAAGGTTAGGTAGGAATATTTCCAAAATGTCCTTAATTTCTTCCCCCATTACCTCCAGTTCCCTTCCATGTTTTCCCTAAGGATACGTCAACACTACTGCATTATTTTGGAATAACTAATGTTATTTTGAAATAACAAAATGCGCATCTATATAGCAAGCCATTACTATGAAATAATGTTGAGATGGAGGACTTCTTACTCCAACTCCTATGACCCTCATTTCACAAGGAGTAAGGGAAGTCAAAGGCTACATCTACACAGTTTCCTTCTTCCGCAAAAGCCTATGCAAATGGAGCATGGATTAGCATATTGCCATGCTTCATTTGCATAATTAATTAGGAGCCATTTTTGCTCAAAAAGGCACCAACTATACAGCGCCTTTTTGCACCAAAAAAACCCTTTTCTGTAAGAGCCGTTCTTCCTGAAAAAATGAGGAAGAACGGCTCTTGTGCAAGAGGGGGCTTTTGCGCAAAAAGGCGCTGTGTAGACGGCATCTTTTTGCATAAAAACCTGTTGCGCAAAAATGGCTCCTAATTAATTATGCAAATGAAGTGTAGCAATATGCTATTCCTCACTTCATTTGCATAGGCTTTTGCAGAAGAAGGAAGCTATAGAGACGTAGCCAAAGAAAGAGAGTTCTTCCTTTGATTTCCTGCTGCGTAGACAATGCCAAAAGCCAAATTAAGCTATTTCGACATCAGCTACGCAATTGACATATCTGAAGTTGTGTATCTTAATTTAACTTTTGCCCTGCTGTGTAGATGTGCCCTTAAGAGTCCAAAGCTTCTGAAAAGTAGCCTGACTCCTCTCTCATGCTCTTTTCAAAGTTGATAGTTTCTCTTTGGCACCATTATCCTGTTAGACATTAACATTTTCCAGAGACCAACTCCTTAAGTGAAGATGCCTCTTAACTTATTAAAATCATGTGTTAGTGAACCACAGCATTTAGTTTAGCAAGTCAAGCCCCATAAGTGTTCTGTAAAAATTATTTTCTTATTCAGAAGCACATCTGCATCCTGTGCTACAGAGATGATTGTTTTATTTCAAAAGAATCTATGAATAGGTAATTTTAAATTGAAGCAAATTAATTCTTTGTGGAAGGTACTCAGCACCTTACTTAAGATCCTAATTAACCTTTCTGAATAAACATAGGAACTTAAACGTCCATTACATTTACATCTGTTGCAGTTTTTTTTCTTTAACTAGAAAGGATCCTCTCTCTGGCATCTCTGGGCATGGTCTCACCAGGCTCTGAGAACACTTTCTACTTTGCATTATTGGAAATCATGATTAATTACATTCTGTAATTCAGTAGCACGGGACTTTCATTTAATATCTTATTTGCCTATTAAGATTATACCCTGTTCTTAATAATATGTGGTTGATAGAAAGCATTTAGGGAACAAAGCCCAGTTATTATCAGTCCGGCTCCCTGTGCTGCCGTAATGCTGAATTACTGCCTAATTGCAGAGTGATGCCATATAGAGTCCAAAGTCTTAAGAGAAATAAGGCAGCTTGCATGTCATTTGGCTCCTGGTTACAATCCAGATCTAGTGTAATCATGCACATGTCCCAGTGGAGAAAAGGTGCTTTTGTATTCTTTATGGGGTGATAACATGATTTCCACAGTCATGTACCAGTGACCAGATCCAAATACCATGGAAGTCAGTGAGCCTCAGGGGTCAGAACCTGCTCTCTTTGAAACAAGCAGTAAACATCCATTGACATCAGTGGGTGCAGAGTTGAATCCCCTCAAGTAAAAGCAGAGGATTGCAGAGCATGTTTGTGGACTTGTTTGCTAACACTGTGAGTAGTTTAAGGAAGTAAAAATATTCATGCCCACAAACAATAATCAGGGCAGACAAATTCTCATATTATAGCAATGTAAATCCATGATAAGATGGCTTCAGTATTTACTTTGGCTTCATCCTGGTATAAAATGAGAACAGACTCGTGGTCCCTAGGCCTGGACTTCAGTGAAGAGTTTTGCTTTCCTGCGGATGGCAAGAATTGGCTGTAACCAAAATCATTTGGTATTTTTCTCCTTTGTTTTCCCTAAGAAAACTATGAGACCACCATGATGAAGGCAAAGAGACCTACAACTTCTTTCTAATAAAATGAGGTGTGTGTTAATTTTAAAATGAGAGTAACAGCAATAATTTTGGGTCAGATTTTCAAAGAGCCCTTAAACTAGCACCTAACAACCTGCCAATTCAAGAAATTCTGCAATGTCAATACTGGAGGATCATGGCCTAAATATGCCCTCACAATTTTGCATGTGTAATCAGCTATGTAGACATTCAGTTCCTGATTTACAGGCACAAGTTTTGTTTTCAGCCACGAATTAGGTGACTAAGCATGGAAATTCTCTTGGAAATGACTGTGTCTAGTCTCAGAATGTTTCTTAGAATAGTTCAACCTACAGTGAATTTTTGCAGCTGAATCTTCTGTGGAATGCCCTGGTGCTTGCTTGTGTATGGATGTACTGGGAGGTCACCAGAATAATAGAGATTTTTTTTTTCATCTCAGGATGCTAAACTTTCTCTTTTTTCAATTTTTTTCTTTCCCAGCTATCCATTCCCCATGGTATTCAGCAGCTGTAGTAAAAAGGATCTGGAAAATAGCCTGGAAAAAGGAGTGGGGATGTGTCTCTTTAACCTGCCCGAAGTTAAGGAATCATTTGGTGGACAGAAGTGTGGGAATGGCTATGTGGAAGATGGAGAAGAGTGTGACTGTGGGGAACCTGATGTAAGACTATCTCTCTATCTATTTCAGAATTATTATTTTATCTCCTTGCTATAGATTGATCCTCTCTAGTCCAGCAATCTTGGGACCTGATGGGTGCCGAACCAGAGAATTTGCTGAACAAGAGGAGATTAATGTTGTAGTGAATGGGTCTTTTTTTTTTTTTTTTTTTGCCGAGGAGAATAATTGGAACAATGCTTGCAATACTGCTTAATAATGTATGACTGTACTGATACACCCTATATAAACTTGTGCCTGCCTATCCAAGGCTTATCAGCTCTCTTCATACCAACGTGTTAGTGTTGTTACACAATTTTATTATAATGGCATAAGGAAATATGTAGATAAAGCATAAGAAACATGCTAATTCTTAGCAGCATTACCTACCCTTTCACTGTTTACTGGAGTCTTAGAAGACATTTAGGAGTAAATTAGAGCTAAGTGACAGCACAGAACACTGAGAACCAGGACTAGTGGCTGTAAACACACTTTATAGGGACACAGGAAACTTGGCTATACTCATAAGTGGACATCTTGCTAACTAAAATCATGGCAGACCACGGATGTTGCTGGACAAGAGAGTGACGGCCTAGAGAGGTTCAACTGTACAAACCTTATATAGAAGAGGGCAAAAGTGCTTGCAAATTAGTCAAAGTTTTTTTTCAGACTGCTCTGTATTAAATAAAACTCTCTCCTTCCTTCATTTTTCAATCTTAAACTTTAATTAAATTCCCCAAGATAGCTGTTCATCTCTGCTTACTTTTCATTGTGCCTTATTGCAGTGCAGTAGGCAGGTCTAAGTGTCATCTTAGTGTGGGTTTTACAAACTACCTGTATCTCTTAAAATTAGTGCTGGAGAACTTTAACTGAGTTCCTATTGGGATTTACAACATGGGAATCCCTTTCAGCATTAGTTAATTACCTGAAACCAATACAAATTAGTTAAAATAATTCAGATTTCCCAAGATACCATATAATAGCTGGAGAATTCTTTCCTTGGATTTGGAGTTACTTGTTTTTATAGATTACATAATATCAAAAATATTGCTCCTAAGGAAACCTGCTTCCATTTTCATGCACAATACATTTTCCCTCTTGGTTTGAATTTTTTCTTTGCAGATTTCTGATTCAGTTGCCTTAATAATAGAAATAACCTACATTACATCCAAAAAGGATGCTGCTACTACCAAGCTGATTTACTTTAATTTAGTGCATGTGTCAAAGGACTGCTAGAATGAGAAGAGAAAATGCAGAATACGGGGAGTAAAATGATATCTGATCAGACACACATACTTCTTTTGGCCTCTCTATTCATTGGTCATATTGAACTTCTCTGAGATTAACCAAATTGAACTCATCAACAGAGGTGGCATTTGTCTCCTCTGATAAATATTGAACTGCCAACAAAATAGACTCAGGGCAGTAAAAATGGCAAGAGTTTGCTGTAGCCTTTCTATACAATATATTGAATTTATACAAACCATAAGTATTTCCTGACAGCACACTCATTATTTGGGGTAACAGGGTTGTAGAAGTAGGCTTGTCTTCTTGTTTAATGCCAGCAGAGTGTCAATGGCTTGCAAATATGTTTCTAATCCAGTTATCTTTCTCATTTTTACTCAAGTGTTAATAACACCTTTTTAAAGTCAAAGCCCCTTAATACCATTGAATGGTACCTTAAGCTGTCTCATCTCTTTCTCTTTTCTTAAATATCTTAAACTATGATTCAGGTATGAGGAATTTAACTTGCTCCCACTGTGGTCAGAGAGGTATCAGCAAATCTCTTACATTATTTAACGTTTCATTAGCCAAGTTGTTTAGACCAATGTCAGTACATCAGTGCTGCATATGACCTTGTAGCACATGATAGTTGCACATGATAGTTTTACCAACTTTCAAGATTAAATATCACTGCAAACATATGTATGTATAACAAGTGGTTTGTCAGATGGACCTTTGATCTGACCCAGTATGGCCATTCTTCCGTGTTAGGGTATGTCTAGACTACGGCGCTATTTCTGGATGCCAGAAGTATCCTGAAATAGCAACATTGTGTCTTTAAACGCTCCCGCTATTTCCTGAAATAGCAGGCATGCTATTCCTGTGTCCCTGTAATCCTCGTTCCACGAGGGTTAAGAGATTTGTCGGAATAGTGCCTTATTTTGAAATTAGGTGCTGTCTACACAGCGCCAAATTTCAAAATAAGCTCTTTCGACCCAGACTCGAAATAATCATCACAGTTTATCCGACAGAAGGGTGCTGTCTAGATATATCCTAGAATAATGGTTTATAACTCTCTTTGCTGTACTCATATCAAGAAGTAGAGAGCTGTATTTAATGTCCAGGTTTAAGAAGTTTGTACACAGTATGATGACTTCACAATAGACCCGAAAAATGAAGGAGTAACATTAGTTCGAACCAAGGGGTTTGGTTTGAATGAACGCGTCCTGGAGCACACTTTCACTTTCAAAACAGCTGTTGATTGGAGTAACACACTGGCGAGATCATGCTAATGAAGCACGGGATATATAAATCCCCGCTTCATTGACTATTTCGAATGCCTACATTTGCATCCCTAATTCGAACTAGGGTTCAAGTGTAGACATACCCTGAGTCATTGAGAAGTATGCATCTCAGTATAAGGCTCAGTTAAGACAGGATAAGATTAACACTGATATCAATGCAAAACACCAGTTAAGTTCAGTATTCCCCATCATGGCCCACATTAAAGCTTCAGACAGACAGAAGGGAGGGGTGTGCTGCAGTCATACTCTTTAGCACCTGCTTCCTCCTTTTATTTCGAATTTAAACAGTTTTGAAACAAATCCCAGAAAAAGCGTAAAGAGCTGTAACATCTCTTGGACAGCAGAGAGGCTCACTCTACACTCCACATCCTGCCAGTAATGGAAGAAATTATGAGAGATGCTGGAGCCTTGTGATAACAAGCTGTTCCATATATCAGTAACTTACAGGAGTTGTAATTTGTTTGGCTGAAATGCAGTCATAGGCCAGGCAACCTACTCTAAGAAACCTAAGCTCTACTTTTTCTGTTCCTGTGAACAAGAAAAATTTAAAGTAGCTGGACCTGTGATTATCCATATCCTCTCTCTTGCCTCATTTTAAAAAAATTATAACAATTTACAAAGCACAACATCTATTTGCCTGCCTTTTTCCATGCTGAGTAATAGGAGAGTGAGTGATTAGAATTCTGCAAGAGTGCTATTGAATTTTGGTTGGAATTTCATTCATAGCCTACATCCTACCTTTGAACATACTGTAGCATGGATAGATGGCAAACTGACAACACTACTGAACAGCAGTTTTATCTGATGCTATGTTTTTTAGATCTTAGAGGCCTGTGATTTAGCTTGGAACTCATTACTACAATCTCAGAAGCAAATCCACTATTTTCTTAAAGTTTTTATTGACTCAGTCTAAGAAAATAAATTTTATAAAAACCCACATACATGGGAAGTGCCATAGTCTAATGCACCAACATAAACCGAGAATGTTTCAGTTAGTGATAATGCGGTTCATATTTTCTGCAAAGCTCTCTATCAGAATAGTTCCGATAACACTATTGCAGTTGCACTCAGCTATACTGAACAATATCTCATTCTTTATACCATCCACCAATCCCATTACAATACAGAATTCTGATGATAAACTTTCTTAAAATGGAGAACTTTCTGGTGTTATATTTAATGACACTATAAAGCCCTTCTGTCAGACCATTTAATTGTGCAGAAAGAATAGTAGATATGGCAGGTTACCAGCTTGGCTTAACAGAGAAATCTTCAGTGAGCTTAAACACAAAAAGGAAGCCTACAAGAAGTGGAAACTTGGACAGATGAGGAATATAAAAATATTGCTTGAGCATGCAGCGGTGTAATCAAGAAGGCCAAAGCACGATGGGAGTTGCAGCTAGCAAGGGATGTTAAGGTTACAAAAACGTTTTGTACAGGTATGTTAGCAACAAAAAGGTGGTCAGGGAAGTGTCTGTCTATACTACAGAGTTCTGTCAGAAAAACTACCGTTTTTCTGACAAAGCTCGAGGAACGTCCACAGTGCAATTGTGTTCTTCTGCAAGAAAAGCGAAAGAACAGAGGAGTTTTTCTGACATTGGTAATATTCATTTTATGAGGAAGAAGCCTTTTTGCAAAAGAGCTCTTTCTCAAAAAGGCATGTGTGGATGGGGAAAAGAGAGTCCTTTCAGAGGAAGAGGAAAAAGCACCAGAGCCCTGGTGGCCATTTCATCCATAGCAATCACAGCTTACAGGCGAGAGAGCATCCATTCAGTCTGGACGGTCTCTTTTGAAAAAAGCAGATCGCTTTTTTGATGCGCTTTTGCAGAGTGGACACTCTCTTTCGAAAGAAGATTTTTCAGAGGATCTCTTCCGAAAAAAGCTTCTTCCAAAAGAAGCCTGTAGTCTAGATGTACCCTCACTCAGTGGGGAAGGTAACCTAGTAACAGATGTGGAGAAAGTTGAAGTAGTCAAGGTTTTGTTGTTGTGTTTGTTTGTTTGTTTGGCCTCAGTCTTCAGACAAGGTCAGTTCCCATAATGCTGCAGTGGACAGCACAGTATAGGGAGGAGGTGAGAATCCATCAGTAGTGCAAGAAGAGGTAAAGGACTATTCCAAAGAGCTGATCCATGCACATATCCGTGGGGCTGGATGTGATGCATTTAGGGGTGCTGAGTTAGCTGAGGTAATTGCAGTTCAATAGACATTCTGTTTGAATATTTGTGGCAATTAGGGGAGATCTCAGATGAACAGAAAAAGGCAAATGTAGTGCCCATCTTTAAAAAGGGGAAGAAGGAGAGACTGAGGAACTACAGACCAGTCAGCCTCCTCAAGAAATCCATTTTGAAAAACTTAGAGGAAAGGAAGATGGTCAGGGACAGTAAACATGGATTCACCAAGGGCAAGTCATGTCTAACTAACTTATTTGCTTTTTATGATGAGATAACTGTCTCCTGAGATATGAGGAAAGTAGTGAATGTGATACACCTTGACTTCAGCAAAGGTTTTGATATGGTCTCTCACTGTATTCTTCCCAGCAAGTTAAGGAAGTATGGCTTGAATGAATGTACCCACAGGCATGAGCGGTGAGTTATGTGGTCTTGTAGTGCCCTGGCTCCAGCAATATCCAGAGTCGGGGGCCCTGCTTCACCAATATTTGGAGCTGGGTCTCTCCCCCGGCCCTGCCTGGAGCTGTCCGTCAGGACTGAGGCTAGGACAGCCTGTTTTTCTGCTTGCTGTTCATTCTTTGAAGTTGTAACCAGTAGTCAATTAAGGGCAACAGCCCAAAAGGAAAAGGCAGTTAAGTTACAAGTATGTGTGAAGAGACAAAAACCCAGAGGTGAGAGAGATCAGAGCTCAATCCTGGAAGGAGAGCAGTTGAAACTGACACTGAAATTATCAAACTGACACTACGTGTAACCATTTGAGAGTGATTGCTTTATTACAAAATAGTCAGGGATAAAATTATAAGACTATTAAAAACATTGAAAAATTTCTTATACATCACTAGAACAAAACCAAGCCAGTACATTATGATAAGATTTTGACCAATCCACTAGGTTACAAAATCACCTGACAATATTTTACAAAATCCTTGATTTGAATATAGACATCATTATGGAACATCCATGCAGGCACAATGGTATGGTGACATTATTTTCATGATCAATTAGACATCACTGTAAGCAGAAGAAAGTTACTTTATTTCATGTAAAAGAACTTTGGGAGATCTAGTAAACAAAAGAGATTCTGTGAAAGAGTAAGGAACAAAAAGAGATAGAAAGAGTCAATTATGGACAATATTTATTTCCTTAAATATAAACACAGGGCCAAGTCCTGCTTATTTAAATGAATGTATACATGGAGTAAATCTGCTGAGGACTCCAAATTATTTTGATTTACACTCATTAATTGAGCACAACTGATTAGATTTCGGAGGGGGGGGGGAGAATCAGCTAATTGTTATTGTTAAAACAGGGTCAACTCTAGCCTCATGATTACTGAAAATATTTCATCTCATTTTTTCTTCCAGACCCATAGTTTGGGAAATGCTGCGGTAGATAATATAATTCACCCAACAGCAGAAAGATGGGAGGTCAAGGTATTTACGAGAAGTGAAAAAATGAACAAGGAGTTCTTAATAAATATTTCAATCTTATTCCAACATGCACTTATTCCAACATGCAATCTACAAGCCATAGCAAAACTCTTATGTAAGAAAAACCATGCCAAATTCGCTAACTTATACTCAGGCAGTCTAATGGCATATTGGGCTGCATTATTAGGAGAATTGCCAGCAGATGGAGAGAAGTGATTATTCCTTTCTATTTGACACTGATAAGGCTACATCTGGAGCATTGCATCCAATTTTGAGCGGGCCCCCACTACAGAAAAATGCAGAAAAACTGGAAAGAGTCCAGTGGAGGGCAAGAAAAATAATTAGGGGGCTGAAGCACATGACTTATGAGGTGAGGCTGATGGAATTGGGTTTATTTAGTTGAAGTAAAGAGGAGGAGGATGTGATAGCAGCCTCCAATTACCTGAAGAGGAGTTCCAAAGAGACTGGAAGTAGACTATTTTCTGTGGTGGCAGATGACAGAACAAGAAGCAGTGGTCTCAAGTTGCACAAAGAGAATGATGAAGCACTGGAATGAGTTGCTTAGGGAGGTGATGGAATCTCCATCCTTAGGGGTGTTTTTTAAGGCCAGGCTTGACATCGCCCTGGCTGGAATTATTTGGAGTTGAACTAGATGACCTCCTGAAGTCTCTTCCAACCCTAGTCTTCTATGATTCTCAGTTGGAGTAAATCAGTAAACTCAGTGAAACTGTGTTGATTTACACCACTGAGAATATGGCCTCTAATCTATTCTGTATTCTACCTATAAGTAACTAACAATGAGGGTGGGATAAATTCTTTTTTTTTCTAGGATTCGCTAAATTCATTTTTTCATATAATGTTTTTGATAAGTCAGATATCTTTAGGGTCTGATTCTGTTATCAGTGATCCAGTGCAGCCTCATTGATAACAGTGTCACTGAGCACACATAGCTGTGGACAGAATTTGACACTAAGGATTTGATTCACTATTACATTCCTGGAGCCTGATTCACTATTACATTCCTTGAGCTTCATACTACAGGCAGTCCCCGGGTTACGTACAAGATAGGGACTGTAGGTTTATTCTTAAGTTGAATTTGTATGTAAGTCGGAACTGGCGTCCAGATTCAGCTGCTGTTGAAACTGACCAGTGGCTGACTACAGGAAGCCCGAGGCAGAGCTGCTCTGCCCCGGGCTTCCTGGAATCAG